CACAGGGTGTTGACCTCCTGACCGGGTCTGCACGGTCTGCATCAGATTCCCCCTTATTTATTATTTGTTTAAGGGACGCTGCCTGTCTTAGGCGGTCAGTGCGAATTCCTCAGTCTTACCCATCATCGAAACTCATTGCAGCATGGCAATGGCTCTGTCTTAGGTTGCCAAGGTTTTTCTTTGTGCTTTTAATAGTCTTTTCCTGTTCTGGAATTCAAATCACCCGTAAGTTGTTCCTGTGTATGGTGTCCCACATAACTCCTAGGCTCTCTTCGGATTTCCTTATTATTTTTTCTGACTGTTCTTCTAGCATACTAGTATTGAGAGATTTATATTCAAGCTTGCTAATTCTGGCTTCCATTGCTTCGAATCTTCTTTGCCCTTTCAATCTATTGTCCATTTTTGTAATCTTAATATTATCTGAATTTCTTATTGCAAGTTTTCTATTGTTTCTGAATTTACATTTGTTTTGTCTGTTTGTTCTTAAAGAGTTTTGCTGAATTCTTTTGAAGTTTTTCAGTGTTCTCCTTGCTTTCCTCTGTGTTTCTGTCAATGTGTTGAAGGTACCAAAATATCATTCTTTTCAGTTAGTTCCATTACCTTTTTTCCTTCAGAAATATTTTCTGCCTGGGCATATTGGTCATTTGTTTGAGCCATTCTCTCTTGTTTCTTTGTGTGAGCTAACATTGCCTGTTGTCTCCAGGGCTCTGTGGGGTTGTCATATTAGTAAAAACAAACAGTGCACTTGTGGGACCTGGAGAGGGGAGTCTGGTGTGCTGCTGCAGTTCAAGGAGCTCACGAGGTGGGTGTGGGAGGGATGTGACGGCAGAGTGCCTGGTCCTAGCTGGAGTTTCTATTGGCCTCAGTGTTGTCTGTGTTCAGGGCACTCAGTCTGGAAGTAGTTTGTGGGGGCCCTTACTGGAGTTGGTTTCAGTGTCTGTTAGGACCACAGTGAAGCTGGAAGCAGGGTGACTGGTTAAATGCTCCTCTGCATATACTGCTGGTTTGGAGCTGAGCCTACCTGAATCCAGGTAATAAAGGGATGCAATTGGTCCCCACCCCACATTGGCATGGCTCTGAACTCCCGGAAAGCAAGGTCTGAGCTGTGTGTGAATCTGCTGTTCCAGGCCACCTTTTGTTGCCAAAGCTGCTCACAAGCTGGTCACCCCACATTGGCCGGCTGTTCGTAAGTCAGTGTCCCTCTGTTACTGCTGCTACTCACCCTCTCATTCCAGCAAGCACTCAATCCACTTCTCTCAGAAGTTTTTCTGAAGTTCAGGGTTCTAGGATTTTCAACTGTGCCTGTTTCATTTGCTCTTTCGTGTCTTTGTTGTCGAGGGTCCCAGTGGTGCATCTGCCTAGTCCACCATCTAACCACAAGTCTATAAAGACAACTCAAGTAGATGGTGACTGGTTTGGGGAAGTGTTTTTTTTTTTAGAAATTCAAGAACTGTAGTTAAGGGTCAGAGATTAGATACAGTGAAGAAATATCTCTTTCTGGTTAGGCAGGTATTTACTGACTCTGCTATCCTTTTCCTCCAAATATTAATTTAAGCGTTTCTGTTCTGGAAATGCACTGAATGTTCTCACAGTTTTCAAGGGTCTCTATAGAAAATGTGGAAAGTAGCAAAATTTAGCAGGGGTGTAGAGTCTTCATTGGGCTCTCTTCACGTGGGCCAGGCTGGGTGGAGTGTGGTCATTGTACATCACCTGCTGGTGAGGAGGTCTCCTTGGTGACTCCTCTGTGGTGGTTGAGTTTCAGAGCAATCAGATGGTTTCTGAAGGTAAAATCACCTGTGGTCTCAGCAGTTCTTAGGGCTGATGCAATGGTGTTCACCGTCACACATTTGGATGAAGCATTGGATTTTCCAAAGATGGCAGTGTGACCACCTATTATTTGGGTAGGAAATGATTCCTTCTAAATTATATTAAAACTGCCCTGACTCTATAGATGAATCAAGATGGCATTGAGCTGGTGTTTAGTTTTTGGTTTTAAATCAGCTTGGGGTGCCTACACTGGCATATCCAGACTAGACTTTAGAAGAAAATCTGTATGTCCGAGAACTATTTCCCTGACCTTGTTTCCTGGGTGATGTAGACCAAGCTTACCAATAAATATTTATTAAAGATTTGAAGGAGTACTTTGTTCATGTTAAATATTGAAAAGGAGTCTTTCTAAGTAGTTGGTCTCTTGCTTTGCTCTCTTTCTTAAGATCCTTAACGTTGTTACTGTTGCTGACTGCTGTCAAGTTGGTTCTGACTCATGGCGACCTTGTAAAGGGTTTCCAAGGAGCAGCTGGTGAGTTTGAACCACTGACCTTTGGTTAGCAGTTCAGTGCTGATCCTACAGTGCCACACCATTTGTTGTTGTTGTTAAGTGCTGACAAGTAGGTTCTGATCCATAGTGACCCTGTATAGGTGTTCCAAGGAGCAGCTGGTGAGCTTGAACCACTGACCTTGCAGTTCAAATGGCTTTGTTGTCTGGTACATCAACCCACAGCACCACACTATAGGACCCTTTAAAGGCTAAGTTGGAGGGTTCTGACAGAGGGTAGTCCTTGAGGTCTGTACACTTTTGGTAGCTCCTTCTCATTGCCACAGACTCCTCTGTGAACCGAGCCTTTACTTGTCCGCTGGAACTGACCTGCCGACCAATTCCTCCTAGGCGCCCGCTGCAGACAGCGATGATCTGCGATGGCCTCGTCTTCTGGCTGATCGACATTCTCAGGGACCCTGACTGCCTGTCTGACTACACACTGGAATACTCGGTGGCTCTTCTCATGAACCTCTGCCTCCGGAGTGCAGGTAACACAGCCCCCCATTGGGCGAGTGCCCCAGTGCTGGTGTGGAGCAAGGGAGGGATTGTGGGCCTGGAATTTAGATTAGCAGCAAGTGTGATGGGGTTTGCTTATGCACTCCCTCATAGAAAACTGAAAAAAGAAGGAGCTTAGTCATGGAAAAGCATTTCCAACTAGGTATCTAAAGCTGTTAGGAGCCCAGGTGGTCCAAAGACTTAAGCGCTCATCTGCCAGGGGAAAGGTCAACAGTTTAAACCTCTAGCCACTCCAGAGGGAGATGTGGCCTCGCTCTTCCTTAAAGATAGCAGCCCTGGAAACTCCATGGGACAACCTTCCTCTGTCCTACAGAGGGCTCCCTGTGAATTGGAATTCGCTTGATGGCGGAGGACTCCAAGCTGTGGAATCACTGAAGCCAAACCACCATCTGGTCTTGAAAGTACAGAGGGGCCTTCAAAAAGTTAGTGGAAAATTGGAATAAAAGATCATGGAATTTTCCACAAACTTTCCAAACTCCTTTGTGATATTTTATGTGTATGTAGTACCTGCAATAAGAAGAAATCAAACTAGTTTTTCTTCTTCTTTATTGCATTATTCAAAGGTAGGAAGAATTATGATCCCTTTTATTTGAAGACAGAAAGAGTGAGTGTTTTCCCAAAATTATGGAGTATTGAGATGCTTGCAGAAGCAAGAATCTTAACCTTTTCATGGCCTGTGGGCTATATAGAGCCCACCTACATTTTCTGTTTCTGGGGTTTAGTGAGAAGCTGCTAGCCACCTTTTAGTGCATGCTGCCATCTGTTCGGGGCCTGCATAACAATGTGAACCTGAAGAAATGGGCCTCATCCTACCAACCCCCAGCAACAGAGACCCCTCGGGACCTATGTGTTCCACCAATGGAATCAAAATCCATATTACCTCACAGCAGAAAATTTTTTCATTTCATTCAAAATGCCTTCCATTACTGAAAACACATGGTTTCCTCAAAACATTTGAAGCAGAAAGTAATTCGGTCTTGAGAGGATTCATTCTTTATCCTAGTAGTTTCGCCATCTTACCCCCCAGAGATGGGGATTTACAAGCCTGAGGTATTTACTCAGTGCAGGGAGTGATGGGAGCTCTTCTCCAGACACCATCCCTCTAAAGTAATCTGTTAGCTAGAATCAAAGAAGCTTTTGTTGAAGAGATGGCATGTCTAAGGTCTGACTGACCTCAGTCTGTGTTTACAGCAAAAGGTTACCCAGATAAATAGCTCAGAGTATTTGTTACCTTGGTTTCTTCCCCAACCTTTGCTTCACTCCAGGTGCTCTGTAACTGAACCTCCTATGAGTTCACCAAGTCAGTGGCTGCTTCCAGGCTTCTGTTTGAATAGTTGTTGTTGTTGCTGTTGTTACATACTGTTGAGTCGGTTCCAACTCATAGCGACCCTGTGCAGCGTTTCTGAGGAGTGGCTGCTGGGTTTGAACTGCTGACCTTGTGGTTAACAGTCTAGTGCTTATCCTAAATTGCCACTTCACAGCTCCTGAAAAATAATAACGTTTGCCAAAGTCCTAGTTTTTAAGCCATTTATGCAATAGCAGCCAGCATTTCTTCATGGTCATCAGTTTATCTGCAGCGAGTGACCTTGGTGATGAGGTTGACAGTATACCTCGGTTTCTGGTTTTAGAAATGTCACACTTTGGTTTGTTTGTTGTGGTTTTTCCTGCAGGGAAGAACATGTGCGCCAAGGTGGCTGGCCTCGTGCTGAAGGTCCTTTCAGATCTGCTTGGCCACGAAAACCATGAGGTACACAGTGAGCCTGCTGGCCGCGGGCTTAGGGGACCTGGACACCTGTGACTTCAGGAGTTCGGGGTGAGGGGAGGCCGACCCAGGACAGGCACTGCATTTGAAACACACATGTATTCGCTGCTTCCGAGTCTTTTTATAAGCTGCTTCAAATCTTTTCTAAGTTCTTACATTTGGGGACTCAGATGCAGGAAGCTGTTCTTTGCTCCTCCTGGTCCATGTCCTCTCCTGCTCTGCATTTTCCCACTCCTCACTTAGCCACATAGTGAGGTTCCAAAGACCAGGTTCTGGGGAAAGCACCATTATTGGAAATTGGAGGATGACCATATCACATCACAAGATGGAAGATGATTACAGCATTACATAACTACCGAATTTCATCATTCCACTGAGGATCATGGCCCAGACATGTTGACACATAACCTTACCCATCACAGTTAGCCTTACTCTCACCTCACATCTCAGTGTTCATCACTGCTAGGCATACATCGTTGATGTGCAAAGTAGCCAGATGGTAGATTTTTTACAGTGGCCATAAATGTGAAATGTCAGATAATGATATAGTAAGTGAGGAGGGAGGTGTCTTTTTTCTTTTGTTTTGTTTTGTTCTAATCCTTTGATCTATTCCTTCTTCCATCCTCTCTCCACACTGACACTCCCTCTGGTATGTTTAATATTTGTTTGTGGATATAGGTATCCTTTACAATGTATATGGGACTTCTGGTCAGGCACTGTAGGATAAGCATTAGACTGAACCACAAGGTTGGAAGTTCAAACCCACCAGCTGCTCCTTGAAAACACTATACTGGGTCACTATGCGTCGGAAACTGACTCGGCGGCACTTACCAATAATAAAAAAAACAGTGTATCTGAGGAGCACGGTGGCTCCATATCATAAGCACTGGGCTGTGAACCATAAGGTCTGCGGTTCAAGCCTGCCGGCCGCTATTCAAAACAAAAATAAGGCCGCCTGCTTCCTCGAAGATGTAAAGTCTCAGAAACCCTATACAGGGTCACTGCGAGTTGAAACCAACTCAACAACACTTAAAAACCAGCAACAACACAGTGTACAGTATGTACACAGTATGTATACTATTGTTGGTGTGTGTATATAATATAAATAATAGTGCACTCTGCATCTCATTCTTTCTTATGGTTTTTACTATGTTGTTAGCACTTTTCTACCTTGCTTTGTATATATCTGGTTCATTAATTCCTCCTGCTATTATATTATAGATAATAATATATAATACATTCTGGTAGCGTGGTGGTTATGAATTGGGGTGCGAACCTTATGGTCAGCAGTTTGAAACTACCAGCCACTCCATTTGAGAAAGATGAGGCTCTCTGCTCCCGTAAAGATTTACAGCCTCGGAAACCCCGTCGCTATGGGTCAGAACTGACTCGACGGCACTTCACAACAACAACAACATTATATAATGTATATAGTAGATATTCCTTCCCCATATGCACTCATCCCATTGTCCTCCCTCTGCTCCCCAGGGGTGCACTTTGCTTGCTTGCAGCTCTGCTGCTATGAAGGTCCACAGTGATGGTAGCTACTCTTTCCCCTTGAAGCCTGTTCAAGAGCTTCTCTGAGGGGATACCCTGTCACTGCTACATCCTGTCTTCCTCATGTCCCCTGAGTCTCAGAACCACTGGGCTAACTTTGTCCTCACCCATGTCATCTCCAACACTTTGTGTTACCCTCTATGTTTTCTAACCTATGGGTTGTTGTGGTTAAGTGCCATCGAGCTGGTTCTGACTAATAGCAACCCTGGATAGCAAGTGTGGGGAATGTATGCTCTGTGGGGCCGTATAAGGCCACGAAATCATTTGGTCTGGCCTTTCCAAGGCAGATGCAGTTCCAGCCATCACATTGTGTTGTTGTTGTTGTTAAGTGCCATCAAGTTGATTCCAACTAATAGTGACCCTGTATAGGGTTTCTGAGGAGCGGCTGGTGAGCTTGAACCACCGACCTTGCAGTTCAAACCAGTCTTGCAGTCCAGCACATTAACCCACAGTGCCATACCAGGGCTCCAATCTATGGGTTACAAATCTGTTATCAATAAAGTAGAGAGAAGGATAAACAAATGCACAAAAGCTATAAAAATAAATATGATTATTTTCTCACATGTCTTTGTGGAAACCCTGGCTTCACATCACAGGTGAAACCAAATCCTCAGCACAAATGACCTCCTTTGACAGTAGGGCACAGTGGTGTGTCATAAGGACAAAACGAACAACACTGGGTCACAGGAAAGCACGAGTTTCCACCAGTCTTCCTGTTTCAAGCAGACAGGTTCCATTGTTCATTTCACTCAAGCCTCACATTCCTGGAGTCCTAGCAACTGATGGATGTGGGCTTTTCTAGCGTGTGGAGTTTGGTTGAAGCTATTTCTGCAGATCACCTGTCGGGGTCTGACCTCGACATAGTTGTGTTGTTCACGAGTGTTTGGTTCACGAGGAGGGGAG